AAAAGGAACACCCTATATTTTATCGCATTTTGAGTTTCTTCCTGAAGAGCTGATTTCATCGACATATCATACTTGGGGTCTATCGAAAATGATTACAGAGATATAGGGTGTTCAAAATCGATATTTTTCAACCATAGTTTGGTGTTGAGAACATTCATTATCGGTCAAAACGGCTCACATGTCCTTATCTCAACTTCTGTTTCTCTATTCACTGATATTCAATCGGAACAGATACAGGGTGGTTCAATATTCAGAATTCATATTTTCATGGATTTCTCCCGACTGATTCTCGATATAGAGATAGTGTAAGCTCATCATGACATACCCTCTGTATGTTTCGTACCGTTTGTTGTATTTTCTCCGATCAAGGAATACTTTCTTAATATTTTCGTGCTTTCTGTTCGAAACTATATCTCTTAAGAATTTAAACTCAAAAAAATCATGTTCAAAAGTACTCGGTACGAACCGTGTAACTAGCGCCCTCTATGAGTGTCAGATATAAAAACAAATTCATGCGCTGTGTCAGCTTTCAGAACACATCCTTACAAAATTTCATCACAATGTCGCCAGTAGTTTCGAGATAATCGTAAAAAATGTGTAAGAAAAATATTTTTTCAACACCTTGTATCTTGAAACCTTATGTCATGAAAACGGATGCCGTTACGACATTTTTTCACTGAGCAAACCTAACTTATTTTGCAATGTTTCACCTACCCTAGCAAGGGGGTTAGGTTTTTTCGAAACACCTTGTATTTATATCCAGCCCGCATTCCTGGATAAGGTGATTAGTCATAAAATTTCAACCCCATGTTGAAATATGAATAACTTTTTTTCTGCTTTGAACAATTTGAATTTGGTTCACACTGTTCGCTAGCCCAGTCCTTCAGCTATAAGCTCGTACTTCTTTGAAACATGAGGTTGGTTCTTCATATAAACTCGCTGAAACTGTGAAACATTTTTGAATTTTCAAAAGGATCCCAAATGAACGAAAACTTTTTTTTTCAACATTGACAGCAAATTACCTCGAGACATTTTTCGAATTGTCTTATTATTCCTTTTACTTACAGAGTGATATCGGAAATTTAACTTTTAGGTTTTGCAGTCATAACATTTTTCCTTCTCAACCGATTTTCGAAATCTCAGGCTCATTTTGAAGGTGAAACTTCAGATATGAAGAGATATGAAGATCAGAATTGACTCAAGATGAACATTGCACAGTGTGTCTCACTACTAATGGAAGCATTCCTGTATCTTTCGTATTTGTCGAGTTAAGATTCTGAAATTTGCAGGGGCGGTAGATATACACTGCTTACACAGCCATGGAACCATCCACAAAAATGAAATAGGCGAGTTGACTATTTTATTTTATTTCTTAGATAGAATCATCATTCAAATAACTTTCAAATTCATATATTTTTAGAATTCTTCATTCGATTTTAATTGTTAAACGGCTCTAAGTTAAACGCGGGTGAAAACTGACGTCACGATTTCGTAAGTAGAAACAGACCATAGCACCGTTGCCATTTGTTGAAATACGATTGAAACTTAGGAAATATCAGTCATTCAATAATTCATAAATTCTCAATTTTGTATTGGTTATATTCCTAATTAGACATAAAAATCAGTTGTCTCAAAATATTCCCTCATCTGCTGTGGCTTATTGCTCATAATACATTCGTGTTGATATTACTATTATTATAATAATTCACACTAGAGAATATTTGAGGTTAAACGTGACAACCCGGCGCACGAATTTTGCCATGTCAGTTCTCAGCATTCAGCACATTGTTACCAAGTCTTCAACATCAACATGATATTTTGTTATAGGGTACAAGAGATATACAGACATGCTGGTTGCTCAGAAAAGTCAAGAATGGTCTATAATATCATGGCTTACACTTATTATGTTTTATCTCGTGTTCTATCCAACGACAGGACTCTAATATTTATGATAAATTGATTATAATTGGTGACTTGACAACGTTTTATTGCTTCATGAGTGGAAATGAAAGATTATTTTTGCAGAATTGCTGTACCATTGCAGAGAAAAGTGTTGTTTATCTGCCTGCCTCGTCTTCATTGAAATAGTCGATGAATTGATGAATTACAAAAATATGTCGCGTTCCAGTTACGCATGTTGGAAATATTATTCAGGTATATTTCTCATGAAAATCAGTATTAATTTTGATGGACTTCGATTTTTGATGTCATGTTTATTTGCAGATCTGAGAAGCAAAGTGTTGATACTTGTCACTGAATCGGAGAAAACCATCCAGTCACGACGAATCGAACAAAGAATCCGCAAAGAAAAATGGACAGAGAATACTTTACAGAATTCAGATCCTTATATTCGTACGGAAAGCGATCTATTGATATCCTTTCCAGATTCTCAAGAAAACAGATAAGACAGATATTCACCTTTATGTCTCTATGGAAACACGACAGGTACCCTTACGAGGGGAGAGTATCAACTCGGCGTTTATAAACCCTCTCTGCAAAGGAGGTAGACGCATGGTGGGTTAGGTATATACAGTGTTCTTCATTGCAGAGAAAATTGTTGTTTATCTGCCTGTCTCGTCTTCATTGAGATAGTTGATGAATTGATGAATTACAAAAATATATCGCGTTCCAGTTACGAATTTTGAAAACAATATACAATATCTATGTAGGTATCACGATTCAAATTTGAAATTGATCCTTAGTTTTAGATCCGAGCAGCACATATTGTTTGGCCTTCAAGGTCCTTAATATAACCCACGTAATTGAACATGTGAAATATGCCTACTGGAAAAACCACTATACGGAAAGAAAGCGGATATGTAGCAATCTAGTTACGGACGTTGAAAATATTATTCAGGTAGGTCTCAGATTACATCTAAGTATCTCCTCTAATAATGTTTTCTGATTCAAATGTACTTCGATTCAAATGTGATGTTTGATCACAGATTCACGGAGCAGTGTTTGATACTTGCCACTCAATCGGGGAAAACCATCCAGTAAATACGGACCGAACAGAAGATACGCAAAGAGAACTGACCAGAGTATACTTTACAGAATTCAGATCATTATATTCGTACGGAAAGCGATATATTGATTACCTTTCCAGATTCTCAAACAGACAGATAGACAGATATTCAGCTTTATGTCTCTATGTAAACACGACAGGTACCCTTACGAGGGAAGAGTATCAACTCGGCGTTTATAATCCCTCTCTGCAAAGGAGGTAGACGCATGGTGGGTTAGGTATATACAGTGTTCTTCATTGCAGAGAAAATTGTTGTTTATCTGCCTGCCTAGTCTTCATTGAGATAGTTGATGAATTGATGAATTACAAAAATATATCGCGTTCCAGTTATGAATGTTCAAAACAATATCCAGACTTTTCATAGATTCATATTCTATTTAGGTCTCACGATTCCAATTTGAAATTGATACTCAGTTTTATTAGATCTGAGCAGCACATTGATGGCCTTCAAGGTCCTTAATATAACCCACGTAATTGAACATGTGGAAGATGCCTACTGGAAAAACCACTATACGGAATGAAAGCGGATATGTAGCAATCTATAGTTATGGACGTTGAAAATATTATTCAGGTAGGTATGTCTCAGATTCAACATCTATGTATTTCCTCTATGATATTTATTTTCTGATATGAATGTACCTACTTCGATTGATATGTGATATTCTGTTGCAGATCAGAAAAGCAGTATTTGATACTTTTCTCACAAATTATACCGGGCATAGTTTCAGAAGAACCTCGGCAAGTTCACTTGCAAATTCTGGAGGAGACATTCTTGCTTGGAAGTCTACGAATATCGTTGAAGTGTATGTGCAGCAATCTTCCACAAAATAGCAAAATATTTAGAACCAAATTGTGGGTCACTGAAGTTTTTTATGAAAATATCGTGAAAACTGCATTGGCTCCAGATTTCATTTCTAGCGGTATTCAAATAAACACTGTTCAAAACAGCACTTTTAACATTATTTTATATAATTATTACCCTACCACAAATGGAAAATATGTAGGATGCAAGAGTGAAAATAACGTGCTCATAAGTTATATACTGTATACCTACTTCTTTGTTACTTTCATCAATAAATTATTTGGAAAAAATTTTTTATTTAAGGGAGACGGAAAAATCATATGTATAACATGGGGGTTTAATATATTGTATTCTTCATTTTCCTGCGATTTCACGTATTACTTCTCATAAGCCTACTTTTCGTCCTAGAATTAGTCACTCCATAAACTTTTCTCCGAGTTGGATTTCCGAAAATATATTTAGCACACCATGACATGAGTACAGTAGTTCAGACGTTCAGATACCCACATCGAGGTTTTCATCATCTCTCAATCACAAGTGTCAGCTCATTCAGCTCATAGTTGAACTACTGCTGAGCTTGAAATCCGAATTCATTCAGTCAATTCAATCAACCCTGGTATACAGTCAAAGAACAGTCTCTTATTTTGGTGAAATATATTAAGCTTTCAGTACAAATTATATGTTCCCCTTCCTCGCAAAGATTATGCTGGATTAGTAAACTCTAAAACTAGAGGATTGTTCATATGATACGCCAATGACCTCAATATAACCTAAAAAACAACATTTAGAGTGAGAGGACACGATTAGGCATTCCAGAACACGTGACTTTTGACATATTTCTAATGGCCGCCTGTAGGCACACAAGTATTTTTTGTTGATTTACGTAGCAGCAGTATAATCTTAGGTAGATACATCAAATAATAATGATGGCTGTTTTGAATAAAAGTGGATATTTATTATCCTTGGACCACTATAACAAAGATATTGTGACACGAAAGTATGTGTGCCTACAGTCGGCCATATTGATTTTGATGGTTTGACAGCATCTTGGATAGGTCAATAGACAGTCTGACAGTCTAGATATCTAGCCGCCATTGGTCCGTACCCTACTTTAACGTCAATTTCCATCAAGGGACTCTAAAGTTGAGTAGCACTGTGATTGTGTGGTTGGTACATATACCTACTAAAATGGGTTGGTAGCACTATAAACAAGTCACTATCAAAAGTGTTAAATGTCAAACTGTTTAACGTCAACTTTAAATTTTAGAACTGGCGTGTTTTGCAAAAAATCTCAACAAACACAAAACAAAACGTGACAAAACTCAGGTGTTTCAGCTTGAACTCAAACGTAAAAAACCCAAGAAGTCTGCGTAACAAGTTTCACTAAATTCAGTGTGTCTGCTTCGCTAAATCATCTCTGTCTAGAAAAACTACATTTTAACCTAAAATTGTGCTCGTCCTAAAATGTTCAATTCAACAAAACTTCGAGATTTTTCAACGCTGCATGCGACATCAGATCCAATCAATGAGTCTACTAGTGCTGCTAGCAGCTTCATACAACCAAAAGTTACATCGACACCTTTGAGAAGAGAAAGCATTTTTGCTACTCCTCCTAAACTTAGAGTCCTCACTCCACGCAGGTATATTAGAATAATGCATTTGACTATTTCACTGTTTTGATACTCTTTTGGTGTTTTGGCAGGTATTCCTTGTCACAGATTGCTACTCCTCCACGTGTCAACAGGAGAGATTCTATCAGAGCAGGTTCTCATCAAAATTTGCCAGGGCCATTGCTGGCTTCCACTAAATATAATGTCAGCGTCAGTACATATGAAGATACAAAGGCACCTGGTTTAGCTGGTAGAATTGTCCAATATCATGAAGAAGCAGAAAGAAATAAGGAACATCAAAGGTTACCAACACATCAGGCCAAATATGGGAGCCCAGGACTGTTTCCAATTGTGCATCTTTTCAAGAAAAAGTTGCCAATTCTAGAGCAGAAACCAAGACATGTTACAGTTAGGATAGCATCACCTGGTAACTGATAAACTTGAAATTTTCCATGCAAATTATCATTCTAAATGCTAAATGTATTTTCTTTTCAAGACCATTTGAGACAGCATTCCCAAGAATATCAACACCAGCTTCTTGGAAGCATAATCAAACCACGAGGTGTTCATCAGAAACTAGCTGACAACCAGAGCAGTACAAGTCCTAGAAGTGTTTTGGATGCACTCAAAGAAATTTCTAGAAAAAGGATACATGCCACTGAGGTAGAATTGATTTATCTCTAGTTATCACAGAGTATTGAAGGTTAAATCAAAAATCCTTTTCAGGTAGTGGAAAATCATGAGGACAACAACAGTAAAAGGATAAGGACAGAAAATGGAGGCCCAGTTGATTCTAATAAAAGACAGAGAGATAAGTCTCCTCCATCAGAAAATGTTACCAGTCCCAGTAAACCAGTTTTGAAAAAGATTTGTATGTATGATGAATATGCTGCTTCAAGGTCTTCTATGGACTTTTCAGTCATCAAGAAACCTGAAACTCCTGTACCAAAACGAAAATCTATAAGCATAAGTAAGTTTTTAAACCTACAAAATATCAGTTTGAAGGTGGAACAATGAATTCAACATTTTGAGAGAAAAATATCTTCATATGGAATGAATAACTTCCATATTGATTAAAAAAAAGGTATCTGTATGAAGTATGTTATGATTTTCTTTCAGTGGATATTGATATTGAATCATTGAATTTTAGATCCTTTGTTATTGCCAATTATCTCCTACTAACAACAATCAGAAAAAAAATGTCAGACCCCTGATGCTATTTTTATTTTTCATTTGATTTATTTTTACTACTATATCAATAATATTATACTTTTTTTTATAATATGAACATGATCAAAATAGTTGAAAACTTGTCCATGATCATATAATTTTTTGTTCCTTTCACTGACTAACTAAAATTTATTTTCTCATTGAGTATAATTAACATATTAAATACATTTTTATATTATCTAAAAATATCTATAAAAAACATGAAATGTTGCCTGATGCCTAAGTATTTTATCATATAATCAAATTTCCAAAACTTCTGAATTCTCAATCAACCATGATTCAATGTAAATTTTTTTACCTATATGAATGGCATGTTGCTGCATTAAAGTTGAAGAGAACTTCTCAGTTGATATCCAACCATCAATTTTATTTTTGGTGTCATATTCATGTTTTACATGAATATAGTTTTATAAATGTTGGCTCATGTATATTGTTGATGTTTTATATAAGTGGTTTCTATTTTTCAATGAGGCATAAAAGAAATTCTGAAATTGCCATTTACTATTTTTAACCCATTCATATGAATAAGGTATGCCACTTGATTGATTGATTGATTGTCTTTATTACCCCAAGAAACATAGTTGTTTATAATAGGGATACATAAACAATATACATAATGTAATACATACAATTATGAAATTATAATAAGATATAACAAGTAAAAAAAAAAATGCAAATAATCATGCAATATCAACCTTGTCTTTTATAAGTAGGTATTCAAATTAGGAATGGAATTATCAAAGTCTCTGAAGCAGATACTTTTTCAAGTTAATTTTGAATCTAGTTGTTATTTGTATTACTGAGTTCAAATTTTTTTTTATTCCATACCTCCTTTCATACTCCTTGAGAAAATAGTAAAACACGCCACTGGGTAGAGTTTTACATTCACTTCTAAACACAAAAAATCTAGGGAATCCATTGATTTTTTTTTCAATTTGATCCCCTCAGATGAGATATGAAATGTCTTGGTAATTTTTATTCTCTCTCTTCTATAGAGTGAATATCTTCAAAATTTCAAGATTTGAACACCTCAGAAAAAATGGAAGGAGCCCTTAGTCATTGTTTCAAATTTTCAAACTGATTTAGGAAGGACTGTGCCATAACAATTTTTTTATTTTTTCCACTCTTTAAAAAGTTTGCGCGCCGCTCATTACGCTAGGGGCCGGGTTTTTAGTGTCATTTATCCTCAAGGTGAAGTAATTTCAGAATTTTCAAGTTCTCCACACCCATAAAAAAAATCACACATTTTCATTCTCAAACTGTGAGATAACATTTTGTGAGTTAATTATTTATTGACCCCTCTTACATTTCAATTAATTTTTAGATTCTTAAATTGATTATATTCTCGATTATCTTTAAAGTTCAGAAAAAAATTGCACCCCTTAGGCATTTTTCCATAACCGTCTCAGAAAAAATGTGTGTGCGCCACTGAAGTAGCGATTTCTATTCTTTATCAATCTTACTCTGAAACAACTTCTAAATTTTGAGTTTTTGATCATCCCACAATAAAATTCAGCTCCTGAAATAAAAATGTGCTTACTTTTATAAACACATTTTTGAATAGGGCCCAACCAGAAACAAATGTGCGCACCCCCTATCAGTTTACAGATCAGCAGCATTGACTAGCAGCAAATTCTCAATAAATTCTCTGATTTTCAATAAGTAACGGCACATAGATAAGTACTGTTTTTTTTGTAATATAAGAATTTTCAGATTCTATTGAAATAAAAACTACTATCAAACTATATTTCCAGATACACTGACTGACACTCCAAAAGAATCAAAACAAATAAAACTAGCCAACGCCGAAACTCAAACACCAGCGGAAGAAGCGGACAAATCCACCAACACCAAAACCCTTCCCGTCGAACAAAATCAAAAGGAAAATCAAACCGAGCCAGACCAACCCTTGCCGGAAAAACGAGCGCCTCCTCTAAAAGTATTCGACGACGCGCCCCTTGAAAGAATCCGAAAAAATAGGTTGGCAGCCCTGTTGGGCAGTCTAGCGGGAGTAGATCCAGTTTTAGAGCCCAAACCAGATAAAGCCAGTTTACTGAACGAGGAAAAACCCCAGGAAAAACATCTTGTTTCCATTCTGACTACACCGCACAAAACTGCTGACAAACTCGAGAGACATGTTCATTTCAACATTCCCGAAAGTACCGATCAAAGTTCCAACTCTTCTTCAAGCCTTATCGGTACTACGAGTACTACGCTAGTTCCACCCTCTTCCCCTGTTGAACCTGAACCGACCCCAAATCCGCTGGGTTTCACTACCACGAGCAGTACTTCTAGTTTTTCACTGGGGAACATCGTCACCACAACAGCAAGTTCCGGCAATGAACAGGCTGAAGCTGTTAGCGCAGTGAAGCTTCCTAGCTTCAACTTGCCATCCGTCAATAATCTTCCTACTATGACGGGTAGTACTGCTACTCTCACTCCCCCCAATAGCAAGTCCAACCCCCCTAAAATGGGCGGCTTCAAGTTTGACCTCAACAAACCCAGTAGTGAGGCCGGTACTGCTAAACCGTCTTTTGGAAATTTGTCGTCTTCAAGTACGGCTGTCACCTCTTCCAGTCCCAGCTTCTCGTTCGGCCCGAAACCTGCAGCTGCGGTCAGTGCGGATGGTACCAAGTCTAGCTTCGGTACTATTATGCCTACAACTACATCGGCACTTGCGTTGTCTCCGGTAGTGAGCAGTTCGGCTGCTCCGTCTTTCAATTTGCCGCCTAAAACTGAAGGAATTCCATTTGGTGGTACCAATACTGCTTCTGCAGCAAATTCGACAGCTTCAGTTGCTTCGCCGTTTGGTCTAGGTTCTGCTACTGCAACGACTGCAGAATCTGTGAAACCTCCGATGTTTTCGTTTGGCGGCAGTGAAAATTCTTCTCCAGCACCTTCTTTTGCTTTTGGTCCAGCAAAAGCAACTGTTCCAGCTAGCAGTACGACTTCAATCAACACTACAACTAATAACAGCACAGGGTTTGGAGCTCCCACTACAGGTTTTGCTACTACTACCAATGGTTTTGGAATAGCTCCTGGTTTTGGGATCACAACTACTGCATCTGCTCTTGGTACTCCTGGTTTTGGGGCGACAACCACTGCATCTACTCTTGGTGCTTCTGGTTTTGGAGCCACAACCACTGCATCTGCTCTTGGTACTCCTGGTTTTGTGACCACAACCACTGCATCTACTCTTGGTAATCCTGGTTTTGGGGCCACAACCATTGCGTCTGCTCTTGGTACTGCTAGTTTTGGAGCCACAACTACTGCATCTGGTCTTGGTACTGCTGGTTTTGGAGCCACAACCACATCATCTGGTTTAGGTACTGCTGGTTTTGGTGTCACAACCACTGCTCCTGCTATGGGAGGTTTCAGTACTCCAACAAATGTTGCATCAACAGGTTTTGGTTCGCCAGCGTCTGCGCAATTTATGAATAAACCGGCATCAACTTACGGTGGTGCTCCTCCATCCTATGGAACGACCTCGTCCTCTTTCACTAGTACCGCTCCTCCTGCTTTTTGGCAAGACAACTCATCGACGAAAAACGTCGTTACGACCAATACAACATTCAATCAAACTGGTTTCGTTGGTACTTCGGCACCTCAACAGCCAAGTTTTGGTGGTACTGCTGTGACACAGTCATCTGGATTTGGCGCCTCTAGCACTCCATTCGGTGCTAGTGCAGCACCTTCTTTCGGCAACAGTGCACCAACGCCTTCGTTCTCTTTTGGACCGAAAACCACTGCTAGTACTACGTTTGGCGGCTTCGGTGCACCCACCACAGCGAACAGTAGCTTCGGCGGTGGTTTCGCTGCCCCCACCACAACCACTAACGCCTTCAGCGGCTTCGGTGCTGCAACTGCTGCTACAACGACTGCTAGCACCACCTTCGGAGGGTTCGGTACCACCACCACCACGACTGCGAACAATATGTTCAGCGGTTTCGGTACTACCAGTACCACGACGAATGCCGGCTTTGGGACAGTAACTACCACTCCGTCGTTCGGAAGTACGAATTCCTTCGGTACCACCCAAGCTAATGCTTTTGGGGCCTCCAGCCCTGCAGGTTTCGGTGCTAGTACCACAGCTAGCAACTTTGGAACGACGAATATTCCAAGTTTCGGAGGTTTTGGTGGTGCAGCGACTACGGGGGGTTCAGCCTTTGGAGCTGCAGGTGGATTTGGTGGTACTGGCACTGCTTTTGCCAAGCCTGCTGCGAGTAATTCTTTCGGCGCTGCACCGAATAGTACCGCGCCGAATGGTTTTGGTGCTGCTTTCGGCACTACTCAAGCGCAAGCCTTCGGTACTGCTAGTCCGGTGACGACTCAAAACGCCGTTTTCAGCTTTGGGGGTGCCGGTACTACTTCGAAGCCGAGCGGGGTGTTTTCTTTCGGTGGTGGGGCAGCTGCTGAGAAACCAAAGTTCGATTTTGGCAGTAGTGGTTCGGGTGGTTTTGGTGGTACCACCGCGGCGTTCGGTGGTACCGCTCCGGCTGCTTTTGGAGCGACTGGAACACCTGGTTTCGGAATGGCGCAGAATAATGCGGTGGCTGGTACTTTTAGCATCGGTAGCGGGCCCCAGACTTCTGGTAGGCCTAGGGCTCAGATCAAGGCTAAGCGGAGGACTTGATTGGCGAAAATTTTCTCTTGAGTGGGTGAGTAAGTTGGTAGGGGTGGTTGGAATGGAAGAGAATCCTTTACTATCGTGAATTAGAGAGATAAAAGTTCTCTTCTCCTCCATCTTTCTCTTCAGTTCTACCAATGTAACCTTGAGGTGTAGAGAGGCTTGATAACTCTTTCCTTGTCTTCTATCTAGTCTGTAACACTGAACTAATTTCTGTGTTGCCGAGTTACACAGTTGAGTTGACAATGAGAGGCAGAATTATGAGAATTTATTCAGTGTGGTATTTTGCTAGACTATTTCACGAAGCATAAGGAGCATTAAGTATGAATGAACAAGCCAACTAGAGCGATTCATTCTGACACCGACAGATACGATTATTTTATGTCACACAGTTAGTGACATTTTGTTATTTCTGATATAATTTGACATCGAAAATAATTCAGTGGCACCGTCTAGTTAGATGGTAGACAAGGAGAGAACTATAGGACTTCTCTATATTTCAATTCGTTACGTTGGTAGTACTGAAGAGAAGGATAGAAGACAGGACTTTTCTCTCTCTCTCTCATTCACTATAATAAAGAGCTCAATTGGTTGAGATTTAGCCGTCAAATTTTTGTGGAAATGTAAATTGTTTTCTTTGTGAAATTACCGGGTATTTTGAATGTTTTCATAGCAAATAAAGGGTCTGTTTACCGAATTATATTTAGTTTGGACTAATTTTATGAAAATCATTAATTGAATATTGTTCAGTCAAGTTTTTCCCACGCAGTTCAATGATACTGTATTTTCAATCAATTCTTAGACTATATTTCAAATATGTAAACCATAACAGTGTGTTAAAGAATATAGAAGTGAAACCTTTTTTGGACAAGAAATATAAAAAAATTTCCATTAAGATTAGTTGTTTACATATAATGACAGCGATGATTTTTTATTGATTAGAAATATTTCGATTGTTTTTCAATCTCTGAACAATCATAAAACATAGTTATTTGAAACTAAAATTTTAGTTGTTTCTTCTGATTTTTTTAAACTTATTGTTGGGTAGTGTTAAATATACCAATCTAATATAACAATAGTTATTGTAGCAATTCATTGTAACAAATGTGACGTAAGCATGATATGTTGTTTTATAAATATAGTATTTTTTTACTGTCGAAAATGTGATATGTAGTGTAATTTACATAATTCATGCTTGCAGATACATCCCATTATTATATTCATACAGTATGGTGCAAATGGAAAGAATTAATTCATTATTTTAGTAAATCAGTGTTCCTTGAATTTTATAATAATAAAACGTTTGACAATATTCAAAACCAAATTACTTCAGTTTATTAAATTTTTTTATAGATAATCAAATTGAACCCATTTTTCAAATCACCCCAAAACATGCACATGACTTCACTTGAAGAAAAATCTTGAGACACATGTGTTGAATGAAAAACTATTAGTTTTAGGATATTTCTGTAGGCATGGATTTAACATAAAATTGAGTTTATTCCTATCATTTGCACCTACTGTTTATACATACCGGGTGACACAGGGTATCGGGTCACCACTCTAAGTGTGGATTAATGCAGCGCATCAATTTACAATTATCAAGTAAAAATTATCAAGTAAGGAGTAGCTAAAATGTTACCATTTATGCAAACCAAATTAACATTTGAGGATAAAAAAATACGCATGCGCAAATGTCCTTTCCAAGCCATTCAGGCAACATTCAAGATAACCATAGAACATTTTTTCATAATATTTTAGACACATTTTTGGGATATTGCTATCACAAGTGGAGCCAAGACTAAAAAATAATAGGAATAATGAAAAGTAAAAAGAAACACAAAACCGGGAAATGTTTTGAGGTTACTTTCCATCAAAGGATGGACCACACATCACATCGATTGAAAATAGGGAGTTCAACTCATAATAGATAATTGTAATTTGATAATTATTGTTAATTGATGCTGCATAAATCCACATTAACTTCTGCATTCGTGAATGGATTTTTCTGAAACAAATCACTTATATACAGGGTGTCCCTAGACCAGTGGGACAGTTGAATATCTCCTGAACCAATAGGAATTTTCAAAATATTATAATTCCACATCATATCGCATTATGAGTGCTAACTTCAGGAATGACTATATTTTATACGAGGTGCGCAAAAAAGGCTCACAAAATCGAACATCAATTTTTTCAAATGGAACATCATGTATTCCATTGCATTTTCATATTCTCCTTGAAGAGCTGAGTTTAACGACCTGAAACACTTGGGGTCTAGCAAGAATGATTTCCGAGATATAGGGTGTGGAAAATTGAGATTTTTCATTTTTGGGAATTTTTTGTGTCGAAACTATTCATTATTGGTCGAAACGGCTTACATGTCCATGTCTTAACTTTTGATTTACTATTTACTCGTATTCAATTGAAACAAATACAGGGTGGTGTAGAATTAACAGTTTCAGTCAGAATTGTATACAGGGTGTTATTTAAGTACGTGGCCAAACTTGAAGGGGTGATTCTTTGAGTGATTCTAAGACGAAAAGTTCATATAAACATAGGTCCGGTAATGCTTCGTTTTCAAGATACAGGGTGTCAAAATTTTTAAAAGAAATCGTTTTTTTCGTAAATATCTTAATAACCCTTCAACCGATTTTATTGAAATTTAGGCATTGTTATTCAAGGTCGTAAAGGGCTAATTTAACCCTAACTATATCAAAATTATCATGTCCAGTGGCGTCCCGGAAGGCACTGTAACCAATATTTTTGACAGAAAAAATGTGCGCCACTGATTTTTCTGCAATTTTTGTATTTGTTTCACATTGAGCAACTAAAATCACAACTTTTTTATATCTAGAGTTTTTTTCGTATCTTGCTTTGTTTTTGAGAAAAAACATAAAAATCACTTCATGGCACGTCCCACATCAGTGGCGCACATTTTTTCTGTCAAAAATATTGGTTACAGTGCCTTCCGGGACGCCACTGGACATGATAATTTTGATATAGTTAGGGTTAAATTAGCCCTTTACGACCTTGAATAACACTGCCTAAATTTCAATAAAATCGGTTGAAGGGTTATTAAGATATTTACGAAAAAAACGATTTCTTTTAAAAATTTTGACACCCTGTATCTTGAAAACGAAGCATTACCGGACCTATGTTTCTATGAACTTTTCGTCTTAGAATCACTCAAAGAATCACCACATCAAGTTTGGCCACGTACTTAAATAACACCCTGAATATGTGACGGTTTGGCTAATATAGAAGGAGAACACACTATTGACTCACGCTGTATAACTGTTCGAAATTTCAGAAAAATCCGTTTACGAATGCAGAAGTTACAGGGGGGTGGGGCGATACCCTGTGTTACGCGGAATATCGGTAGGTAGTAGGTTAAGTGAAAAATATATTATCTTAATTGAATATTTTATCTTAGTTTCTCAAATTTTAGGAGAATTAAAATAAATATTATTTATTGAAATTATCTTTTCTTTGAATAGTATCGCCAAGTCCACTGCATGGAAATTAAACTACTTTTATCGTTAATCTGAGTTTATTTTCCCCAATAGTTAATAGTAGAAAAAAGTTTTTTCCGAGATAACTTACGTTGAAGTTGCATTCTTTCGGAAAGTATGCACTCATTAACGAAGGTAAATTACTGATTGAAACAATTTTTCTCTAAACAAAAATGTGAAAATGATCACTGTATCATTTTAGTCATTCACGAAATTTTATTCACTCAAAAATCACAACGGGTGAATCAGTATTGAATTAGAAATATTGTTCAGTAAAAAACAGGACTTTATAATTGTTTTTTATTTTCAGTTTCATGGAAAAAAACATGACTGTAAATAAGGAACAAAAATGTTGAAAATTCAATATTCTATATTTCAGTAACAAACTGACTTATCAGCTAGCAAATAAATAAGAAAAAATATAAGTTACATTAATTGGATATTTTGGCGAATTCATTCTCAAATCATCTAACTGATGAAACAAACATCACATAATAACTGCCTTGATATGTCGAAATCCAGTCATACAGGGTGAATAAATATCTATAAAAACTCTCTAGCCAGTCAAACAGAAGAGTCTCTCAGTCTTACAATATTCAGGATCGAAAATACCCAAAGTGGTGTAGACAGCACCGATGCGACACAAAGAATTTTCTTTCGTGCGCTCCAAGAGATAAAAAATTTCGGAAGACGTATAATAATGTAACGTATGGAAAGAAAATATATTTTCTGCAAAAGAAAGGAGACTACTTTTTCTAAACAATCTAACCTACAGACAGAATCTAACCTAACCTGGCCTATACAGGGTGTTCCTTAAAGACATGCTAATATTCGAGGGAGTGATTCTTTGACTCATTTTAAGAAGAAAACTTCATGTGAACGTATGTCCTAAAAGTCTAAACTTTGGAGATACAGGGTGATGAAGTTTTAAAAAATATTCAGTTTTTTGATAATAACTGAGACAATATTATATACATCTTCATGAAATTTGCATCAAGGTGCATTTTCTGATGTACAAAAATTTCATTTATATAATAAATATTATTGTTTATATTTTACTTAAAAGTGAGCAACAAAAAATTTACATACATAAAAAGCTATTTAATTATGCGCAAAAAAGATCCTCCTGTTGATACTCGATAGAACGCTTCGTTTTCGAGAAAAAACGGAAAAACGAGTCCAGACTTCAAATGGGCTTATATCACCAAAAAATTTATTTCATAATTCGATAGAACTCACCCATACTAGCTCACCACCGCAAACCGTTTCTTGCTGTGAGCTCCCTACATTTTATAAAAAATTATTGAATTATTGAAATCACCGATTTTTCGGACCTCTGAAAACGAGGTGACGTCAAAACCCTAATACTGAAACAAGACTATTCCAGACAGAGATGAATGATACATGATTTCTGACAGAGTGAATTTGCGCGAGATCACAGTTGAAAGAGTTAATATATCAGTTGCTTTTCAGTCTTCCTTCGGGCGTTTGGTATTTTCTTTTAACTAAGGCGAGATGAGGTTTCTACGTCATAAGAGGGTCCGTTTTCAGAAGGTACCTACTATATTATTTATGTCCAAAAGTAAAACATTTCAGTTAATTTTTCGATCGAATTATGTCGTCTATCATTATTATGTATAAAAGGATCATTATATACATGGTTTGAGTTGAAAGTTCTACTAAGGTGTACCTACACGCCCATTTTGATGTCTGAGTACTCCATTCAGGAAATCCATTACTGGATAACCACCGTATGTAACATTTTGAAATTTGTATACCGATTCAGTCACATAGCAGACTGAATTTTGCCATCAGGAAAAGCTATAAAGGGTGGACAAAAAAAATCTATGCATATTTTCAACATTGACACCCTGTATCTCAAAAGTTAAGACGTTTACGACATACGTTCATATGAAGTTCTATTCTTGAAATGGGTCGAAGAATCGGCCCCTTGAATATTAGCATATCATTAAGGAACATTCGTATGTGAACCTCCTTCCTAGGTAAGTATATTTTACGGAAACGTATCATTTTGCATAAGAAATGAACCTTCTTCCTAGAAAGTATATTCTTCGGAAAATATCCTTCTGCATAAGAAAGGACATTACTTTTTCTAAACAATCGAATCTAACTCGTTCTAAATGATCATTCTTCCTATGAAGTATATTCCAACAATCATCTAGGTAGCAGCCTACTGCATTTGAATTCGTTAGCAAGTTTACAGAAAATTTTCGAACTTTCTACAAAAACGGAAACAGTTATGCAAAATCTGATTAGGCCATCTTGAGTTCCACAAAAAAGTGGGACAGGGCTGCGAAAACCGCAAGGTTCTATCTCCAAAGATGACAGATATAACGCAAAAGCATCAAAAACTGGACACACTGTACAAAACAATCATTCTGATGCTCACTAGACGCTACACGTGAATGATGGTTGTTTCGGGTGCTAGTGCTGTTTATTTAGAGTTCCTAAATGTACTTGACGTTTTGACGTTTTTTGTATGGGTTTCGTACAAGAACTGTCAGATGACCGACGCTGGAGGCACAACATTGAAACACAACCTCACTTTTCTTATTTGTTTACAAGTGATCGAAATAGTTTTTCACAATTATTTTGGCATACGAATCGTATTTTTGCGCTATTCATCAATTCGCTCATGCCATCACATTATGCTGTTGTGAAATGCACAAAAACTGCAGCGGAAGACGAAGTAATTCGGTTCGTACATTATGATTTAAAAGTAAGTACCTACTATAGTCACTCACATATAGTTTTCATTTTTGAAATTTGGTAATTTCTCTGATTTCTCATCGGAATTCCTTCTGCAATAGGAGCTAATAAAAATACACCTGGAATTTCTAAAATAATGCAAGAAGATTGGATTCATGCAATCAATCGGGAGGACTGGTTTGACATGCTGACGATCGTGTGTGTTGTAGACATTTTCAATCAATTAGCAGTATTAGCTTGTATTGCAGAAGTGGCAGAAGGCAGAAGGAATTTTAATAAGGAATGACAACACATTTCATAATGATAACTATGTGAGATTACTATTTACCTGAAAAATCATATTCCTTCGTCTCTCGCTGCATTTTTTGTGCCTTGTACAACAGCACAATGCGAAGGCATGCTTGAATTAATGAATAGCGCAAAAAAACACGATTCGTATGCCAAAATATTGTGAAAAACTATTTCAATCCTTTGATTCCTCTGTAACCAAATAAAAAAGTGAGGTTGTGTTTCAATAATTCACAGAAGAGTGAGGTTGTATTCCAATATTTTGCCTCCAGGGTCGGTCATCGTGCACGCGACCTATATACAACAAACAGCAGTGTCAAGTACATTCAGGAACTCTAGTGCTGTTCGGGAATTCTCATTCCTGAATATTGTTAGACGGGGAAACTCTTCAGAGTAAAAAATAATAGAAAAACCCACAAAGAATTCAGACGATCACAGCTGTATCGTTGACTTCGTCGAACCTCCACCTCTGGTACACGCTGTTCCTGCAATGCTCGACCTTAACGCCCCTGCCGTTATCTACCCCATCCCCCGACAGGCACTTCTTCGTGCTGGGGTTGTACAGCGTCCCGTTCTTGTACAACACCCAGTATTGTTCCCTTTTGTGCCCGTGGCACTCGGTCAGTTGTACGTCGCGTTCTTGAAACACCTGATGAGGATATCAAAATATTAATAACTACCAGACCTCGCAAACGTTTTTATGCTATACTGGGTGTCCCAGTATACCTGTTCCAATAGATTATCTCAGCCATTTCGAAAGATGAAAATTTGAAAATTACATGATCTACTACAATTCTAATAATTCGAAATTATTAGCGAAGTCAAAATCAAGATTACAAATATATAGTAGCCTACTGCAATTCGTTCAATTTGAAATTTCAATTGTCGATTTCTCCATCAAATCAAATTTAAAATATGAAGTGTGATACATCGTTGGAGCGGTAATTTTGAGTAGAAATGGAAAATTGCAAAAAATATACAGGGTGCTGTTTGAAATGAAAAAGCTAGAGTCACTTCCCGTCAAACCGGAAGTGACTTTCAATTTTTGTTTTTCTCAGTTGAAGCTTCCTTGAACGAATTGGGGATCATGAAATTTTCGAATTTATATTTTTCGAAATGGCGGAGATAATTCATTGCAACAGGTATACTGGAACAACCGATATATTATACATTATTTCTAAAATATATTTTTTCAGTTGAATGTTCATCAAGACACTATTATTATTTTATTTTTTACTTCTTTTTAGTTTCGCTACCTATGAAAGCGTGTTTCTTTAGTTTTTCAAACTAACATTTATTTAAACTTCTTTTTAGTTCACTTGAATTTCACAATTTTGACGAATCATAATATCCGACTCCTAAAACCACAGATGAAAATGTTGAATAAAATCGGAACATATAATTACAATACTCGTCCCCCATATTGGGTCCGCCATCTTGAATTTCCTAATTTTGACGAAAGAATCATAATCTCCGACCCCGAGAACCACCAGATACCAAATTTGAATGAAATCAGATCCTAATCACAAAATCCGTTATTTTGGATCCGCCATCTAGAATTTCGTAATTTTGACGAAGGAATCATAATCTCTGATCACGAAAACCCCTAGGTACCAATTTTGAAAAGAATCTGATTATAATTACAAAAGTCGTCCGCCATATTGGATCTACCATCTTGAATTCCCTAATTTTGACGAAGGAATCATAATTTTTAATCCCGAAAACGCCCACTTACAAATTTTGAATGGAATCGGTATATAATTACAAAACTCGTCCGGTATATTGGGTCCACCGTCTTGAATTTCCGAATCCCGCCCTTTCCAAATTTTGACAAAAGAATCATAATAATCTCCGACCCCGAAAACACCCAGATAACAATTTTGAAGAGAGTCGGATCATCAATACAATACTCGTCCGCCATATTGGGTCCGCCATCTCGAATTTCCTAATTTTGACGAAAGAATCATAATCTCCGACCCCGAGAACCACCAGATACGAAATTTGAATAAAATCGGATCCTAATCACGAAATCCGCCATTTTGGATCCGCCATCTTGAATTTCTTAATTTTGACGAAGGAATCATAATCCCCGATCACGAAAACCCCTAGGTACCAATTTTGAAAAGAATCTGATTATTATTACAAAACTCGTCCGCCATATTGATTCCGCCATCTTGAATTTCCAAATTCCGCTCGAATTTTCGAATTCTGACGAAAGAATCATAATCTCCGACCCCAAACAAATATTAGTATAGATAATAATGATAGTACTTTATGGAATAGCAATGTTCAATGGCTATCGACCGAAGTCCTCCTGCCATAATCAGTATATCGGTGAAATATGTCCGATTTGCCTATCTATCTGTAATAAGTTGCTGAACTTTCTAGGCTATGTCTTTTCTGTAGCAGTAAACCACTAACTATGATATTTTGGAGACTGTTGAATAGAAATATTTTGATCCGGTCCTGATGCGACATTCCTTCTTCCATAAAAACTTCTGAAAATAAACTTCGAATATATCCTGCTTCACCGATCTCTACCCTTCTGTACTCAACAAAAAGTAGTTCATCTGTTCGCTCATAGATACTGCCACATTCTAAATAAAATGTCTGGCTTCATTGTTCTTATAAGGATGGTTCATCATCTTTTTAGTGTAAATAATCAGTAGTAATACAAATAATTACGAAGAGTGTCAGTTTAACAGTTGAAATAGTACGACTGCGAAGCGAATTTATCTTCATTCTCAAAAACTTCATCATATGTTCATGAATACGGAGATTGACCGTTTGTCCTGTCTGACCCATATATACCGTATGACAAAATCCACAATAAGTTTGTACACCCCTGATTTCTTGATTTTAGAAGTGTTGTTTTTATTATTTTTGATTCACTTTCCCAACGTGTTATTATTTGTTCTATAGTTTTGGTGATATTTTTGATGATAATTTAAAAATTTCACACGTAGAAAATGAAGGAATAAAACAATCATTTGGTATAAGGAATAATTGAGGATGAGAACGAATTTAGTCGCTGCTGATTGAACCTACAACTAACCACAACCTACTTTATGACTAATTATATGTCAACTATGAACTTGTAGAATTGGCAATGGGGGTAAAACCTGAATGGTTATATGTACTACAAATAATACAGCTGGCAACACAGGAAAAGGGACTATGACGTCAGAACTGCATAGTCGCTATATTGGCCTGACCGTTCTATGAAATTGTAGTCTTCAAATGGTGTTTTTCAAAGTATTACAGTATATTTTATAAAAAAAATGGATGTATTCATGTTATGTTCGGTTGTTCTTGCCTATTGTAGTATGCACCAATCCACTAATAACTGAACTTGACAAATAATTGACGATCATTTTCATCGAACTAGTCGAATTAGATACCTCTGCGCAGAAATTCTCGTTGCGCAGCTCCCCCCTATGGCTGACGGAGAAGTACTGCGACATGGCGACGTAGGGGTGGCACTGGTAAAGGCCCAGGGGGCCCACCTTGTCCTCGGCCAGCTGCAAATCGTCCAGGCACATGTCGAACTCGGTGCGGACCTGGCCGAACGCGAAAACTCTCTCGTCGGGGATGAATTTTTCGGGGTACACGTTGTCCAAGTACCTAGAGAGCAGAGTTACTAAAGAATCTGTTACTTTCATAATTATCCTCTATTCACCCAAAGCATTTTTGTCTACATTCATGGTTAGAAAATCTCCTCGGCAACATCCGGCTCGAAGGACCAATATGTTCGATGCTAGATTTATAGTGGACTGTATTTGTATGGATATGATGATGAAAACAAGATTGATACTAGAATTGCAATTTATATTGCAATTCTCCTTGATTTTATTGAAGAATCTTATGTTTCAAAAACGACACGTCGTCATGTTGACAATAAATGAAAAGTTATGTTTCAAAAACGACACGTCGTCATGTTGACAATAAATGAAAATCTCTTATACTATTTGGGACAATCGAAGTACTAAACATATATAATGTATGCAAACAGTTCGTTTCAAATAAGTCATCTATTTTCAATTACCAGATAAGTTATCTGCTTCGGAGAATTGTTTTTACAGAAATTTATAATACGATTCAAATTAGGATTGAAATTTAAAAAAGCAGTTGATGTGGAAAAATTGCCTAATTAGGTCGCAAAACCAAAATGAAGTGATATCTCGACAGATAGTGGGGATAGTTTTCGATTTCAAAACATTGAGCAATATGACCCATGACAAAATCCAAAATTTTTTCAGAGCCGAGATAGCTCATTCCTGACTGTACCCTCGACTGCACCAATGACTTTTTTGGGTAAAAAAACTGCCTAATTAGGTGGAAAAACCATATTGAAGTCAATATCTCAACATATAGCGTAGATTTTTTTCAATTTTGGAACATTATGCAAGAGAACCGATGACAAAATCCAAACTTTTTTCAGACCAGACTGCACCAATAACTTTTCTGGTACGAAAAACTGCCCCTTCGGATCTCAGAATCGAAATGGATTCGATATCTGCACAGAAAGTGGAGATATTTTTTTATTTTGGCACATTGAACAGTTGGTCTGATTATTGAACCAATGACTTCTCTGGGCCGAAAAACAGAATCGAAATGAAGTCGATGTATATATAGCGGAGATATTTCTTGATTCAGACATATCAAACAGTAGGTCTGATGACAGAGCAGAGTTAGTTCACTTCTGACTACGCCAATGACTTTTATGGGTCGAAAAACTGCCTAATTAGGTGGTAAAACCATAATGAAGTTGATATCTCAGATAGCGTAGATTTTTTTTCGATTTTGGAACATTATGCAATAGAACCGATGGCAAAATCCAAACTTTTTTCAGACCAGAGATAGCTCATTTCTGACTGCACCAAAAACTTTTCTGGGACGAAAAACTGCCCCTTCGAATCTCAGAACCGAAATGGATTCGATATCTCATTAGATAGTGGAGATATTTTTTGATTTAGGTACATTGAGCAGTAGGTCGGATGAGAAAATCCAAATTTTTCTCAGAGTAGAGATAGCTCAATTCTGATTGAACCAATTACCTCTGGGCCGAAAAAAATGCATAATTAGGTGGCACAATCTGAATGAAGTCGATATATCTATAGTGGAGATATTTTTTCATTCAGGCATATCCAACAGTAGGTCTGTGAAAGAGCAGAGATTGTTGATTTCTCACTACGACGATGACTTTTATAGGTCGAAAAACTGCCTAATTAGTTCGCAGAATTTACATGAAGTCGATATCTTCATAGACAGCAAAGACATTTTTTGATTTATGCACACTCAACAGTAGAGTTCTGATGACAAAATCCAAACTTCTTCCAGAGTAGAGATAGCTCAATTCTGATTGAACCAATGACTTCTCTGCGCCGAAAAACTGATTAATTAGGTCGCAAAATCGAAATAAAGTCGATGTCTCGACAGATAGCGGATATTTTTTTCAGGTTCAAGCATATTGAGCAGTAGGTCTGATAGTGAAATCCTGAACTGTTTTCAAAACTAAGAAGGCTCATTTCTGAGTATGCCAATGACTTTTCTAAGTACAAAAACTGCGTCAGAATTGAAAAAAATCCTAGCACATGGAACCATAAACCTCACCATTTGAAAGATTTACACTTGAGTTTCTGCCTCAACTGTTTCCTGTGCGTCAAATCGCCCACGATCGGGTTATTTTCCAGGGCCGGCTGGTGCCTGAAGAAGAACCGCTTATAATCGTCCATCCAGACATGCGCCAAACGAGCAGTGTTGATGCCATGAGTGTCTTTATTGTCGGGAAAGGAATACGGATGAAAATCTCGAAAAATATGGCCTACTCGGGAACATGGAACCTGAAATAAAAAAAAATAATATAAGTAAATATGAATTTGTTGAATTTAGAAGCTATCCAGACCCTTGAAAAAGAATGTACTACGCCTTTTCCAGAGTAACTAGTTGTAAAGAGAAATCCGCGGAGAAAACAGCACATTCTAATGACATCTGTGGAACTTTTCAAAGGTACGTAAAATTTTGCTCAAGTGGCGTTCAGATTTGACATGCATCTGGAAGATAAAAAAATTTTACAAAGAGCTGGAAATTCACTGTCCCCAGTCTGCCCCCGCAGCTACTTGAAAGTTCATGTTTCACGTTGAATTTTGAACGAGTTTGATGTACGATTTTATATCACAAAAGTCAATAGTTCTGGAATTATAAATACTAGTAAATTATAATTTCGACTATTTTTGCACCAGTTCAGTGAGAAAGCTGTAATAAATGAAACAATGTATTTCACTTTAGATACCTATTCTAACTTTTTGAAAGCTTTCAATATTTGTTTGTAATATGTATACTAAAGAAGTTACGAGGAGGCAATTATCCCGCAGAGTTCTCCCCACCATTCGCGATTTCATTCATCCATCCGTATTTAGTGTTTAGGATTGTTGACGTATACTACATAATTATTCACCTAGGAAATGAATCGCGGTGTCTATTGATATTCAGTCTGAGGTCGACGTAGTAGTTATGTCAGTGGTGTGAACATTACTTCACAAACAGCGCCATCTACTATCTCCTTACTTGAAATGTACTAAAGAGTGGCCATACAATTTACAACAAACACGCCCAATAACTTTCGAGCCAATCAAGTTTTAGTGTTTCTTTGACCTACAAGACATATCTGGTTCGCACAAAAACAATCGTTATTCGTTGGTATGGCAAAAATTCTCGAATGGGGATCCAATAACTTGGTATATTTCAATGCAAACAAGAATCAAGCATGCCTTTTCTCTAGAAAAGCCGATCTCACTGTGTCCAACATAAACTTGTCAGTAACCATACCTTTGAAGACATCCATTTCGATGCTTGATATTACTATCAGCAATAACCTTTCTTGGGAAAATCACGTGAGATCAATTGCTAAAAGTGCATCCCAAAAACTTGGTTTTCTGTTTCGAGCAAAGAGCTATTTCACTTTCAGTCAGCTGCTTATGATCTATAAGGCACAGATCCGACCTGTCCTGGAATACTGTTCCCATATTTGGAGTGCAGCACCCAAACATACCCTGAAACTGTTGGATTCTGTCCAAAAAAGGGGAATTCTTCTCGTGGGTGATGCCTCGCTCACACACTCACTCACTTCTCTGGAACACCGTAGAAAAGTTGGCGATCTGGCCCTATTTTATAGATATTTCCATTGACGATGCTCTTCGAGATTAACTCGTCGAGTTGAGGCTTCGCACCCCTCCTGGTCACTTTGGAGACCTACAAAACATCTCTTTCCAAAGACTTCTTCATCCAATGAACAGCGAGGCTCTGGAAGACATTTCCAAGGGAGGTGTTTCCCGAGGCATATAACCTCCAGAAATTTGAGAAGAACACCAATTCCTATCTTATTTTCCTTGGTGCTCACGATGTTTTCTGAACATTACAGGATATCCCTTTTAGTGAGAACGTAGATTTTACGACACGCGCCCGCTAGTACTGCTAGTAGGTTAAAAAAGAGCCCGAAACTCACCGTCTCCAATCTGCCCCCGCACTGCCATATCCTGAAGGACATTTCGAGATTTTCGCCTCCCCATCCGTCCATCTGTTCATCGTAGGAGCCGATGTCCCAGAAGAAGTTCCGTTCGATGGCGAACAGCCCGCCGGCCATCGTAGGGGATTTGACCGGTGTCAAAGTGCGTTTGTCCTTCTCGTCCTGAATGTCGATCCACGTGAAGTGGCCGGCCCACGAGAAACCCCCCACTTGGTAGCTGCTGTCACCTAAAAAACAATCGACATAAATTACCAATCAGGGATCAAAAACAGGAAGTCATCATATGAACAGTGACAACTTTGAAAATTGAGGGACCAAGGCTAGGGTCCCTTGATGGAAATTGACGTTAAAGTCATCTCAACAGGGTATGGACAGATCATAGCTGCATTATTTTTTAATGATCTAGAGGACATTGCTGTCACGTCACGTCCATGGGCGCTACAGAAAATCATTCAATATTTCAATAATAGGTATGTACAGAATATTTATATACTTGTTGAGGAAGATCATATGGGGATCAAGTTTTGTAATTATGATCCGATTCTATCCAAAATTGGTATCTGGGGGTTTTCGGGGTCGAACTTTATGATTTTTTGTCAAAATTGGGATATTCAAGATGGCGGATCCAATACGGCGAACGAGCTTTGTAATAAATAGTTGTTCGAAAAAATAATTGAACAACTGGAGAGATAGATTGCCAACCTGAAAACGAATACAAAATGAATAGTATCTTGAAAAACTAAAGAAACACGCTTTTATGAGTAGCCGAACTGAAAGAATATTTTCTAGAGATATTGTGCATAGCAAAACAACGTTTGACAAGTCAGCTAGTAATCTAGTAATGATATTTATTATTCGTTCCCAATACTCTTTGTATATTGTTGAAAAAAGAAAATACTGACAGTGTCAAATGACTTCTGAATGTTGATGATTATAAAATTCAAGAAAATAAAAACATTTTACGATCAAATAAGGATAACTGTATTTGCATGCGGAAAGTAACACTTTGCGCACTTGTTAGGAAAATAACTATTTCCGCCTACCTCTATCCAAAGTGAACATTTCCTTGCCTCAATGTAGGAAGCAACGTCGTACTTTTCCTCCCTAGGGAGGAAAAGTACTTGGTCTCCCTAACTTTGTCTCTCTTGGGAGAAAAAGTGAGTGACATCATATGGTATTCAATAGTAAATATACCAGACACGTTTATTTGTCTGCTATAGAGCAGGAAAATGTATCTACCAAATGGTTGGAAAGAATTCTATTGCTTAAATTCATAAAAAAAATTGCAGAATTTCTGAAACTGCCTGATGTTATAAATTATACCGGGCATAGTTTCAGAAGAACCTCGGCAACTTTACTTGCAAATACTGGACTTGGAAGTCTACGAATATCGCTGAAGGGTATGTGCAGCAATCTCTCACAAAATAGCAAAATATTTCGAAGCAAATTGTGTCACTGAAGTTTTTTATGAAAATATCACGACAACTGCATTGGCTCCTCTTCTAGTGGTATTCAAATAATCACTGCTCAAAACTGCACTTTCAACATCAGTTTATATCATTATTACTCTACCACAAATTGAAAATATGTAGGATGCAAGAGTGAAAATAACGTGTTCATAAGTTATACTGCATACCTACTTCTTTGTTACTTCCATCAATAAATTATTTGGAAATGACTTTTTATTTAAGAGAGGAGGAAAAATCATAATTATGTATAACATGGGGGTGAAGTATATTCTATTCTTCATTTTCCTGCAATTTCACGTATTACTTTTTATAAGCCTACTTTTCGTCCTAGAATTAGTCACTCCATAAATTTTTCTCCGAGTTGGATTTCCGAAAATATATTTAGCACACATGACATGAGTACAGTAGTTCAGATACCCACATCGAGGTTTTCACCATTTCTCAATCATAAGGCTCAGCTCATTTAGCTCATATTTAAACTACTGCTCAGCTCAGAATTCATTCAGTCAATTCAGTCAACCCTGGTATACAGTCTAAGAACAGTCTCTTTTGGTGAAATATATTAAGGTTATTTTAGTACAAATTATATGTTCCCTACCTCGCAAAGATTACGCTGGAGTAGTATACTCTAAAACTAGAGGATTGTTCAACTATATCTTGGTATAGTTGAATCAGGAATTCCATATGGAAATTACGTATGATACGCCAATGACCTCAATACAACCTAAAAAACAACAAATGTGAAAAATCTGATAGGTATTTTGAGACGATATACCACTCGATACATCTAGAAATCTCAGAGTAGCTACTCCTTTGATTTATTTCCACTACGTGTGACCAATATTTTTAAAACAAAAATTGTTTGCCTGTATGTCACTGTGGTAAATTATTTCTTGGTAATGGAAATGGTTCGATCTCTTCACTACATATTGTATATTAAGTTCTTCCATAATCACGTGATTTTGGAAAAAATATATTTTCAGCCTATGTAAAATTCATCCATATCGTTAGTGATTTTCGAAAAAAAAAATAGCACCTGTATACAAAATATCTCCCTCCCCCCCGTTCAATTATATTATCATCATTAGTCATAGATAAATCATTTTTTGTTCGGTAATTAATCGGTTATCAGCATGACTCAACCTATTCGTCATTCATTCGGGACCAGGTGGTAAATCAAGACAGTCTTATATTAGATGTCATCACGTACGGACGAATTTTGTGATCGACATCGAAAAATACGCGAAAGGAATTACTTATCGTTCCAAACTGAGTGTTCCCTAAATACTGAGTGCTCGTATTGATTCGTATATAGTGTTTTTGTATTCCTCATTCGATTCAATAATAATAATATCGGGATCGTGTGTTGTGCTAGTGTTTCGTGTTGTTTCATCAAAGCCTAACTTTTTTCACGCTGGTGAGTGCAGAGAATTTCTCTAAATTTTTCCTCATATTTCTCTGTATTCATTTAACTTCATTACCCTATACAGGGTATGTCACTAGGAGCTTACACTATCTCAAATCGAGAATCAGTCGGGGGAAATCCATGAAAATGTGCATGCTTATATTTTGGTATACGCTCTTTTCATTTAAGATATGTTCGACAATGCAGTGTTGCCGCTTCTACTAGAAAGTAGTGGCAACATTGATATTTCGAACGGAACACCTCGTATTTTATCGCATTTTAAAATTCTCCCTGAAGAGCTGATTTCATCGATATATCATACTCGAGGTTTATCGGAAATGATTACAGAGATATAGGGTGTTCAAAATTTATATTTTTCAACTTTAGGATTTTTTTGTGTCGAAAATATTCATTATCGGTCAAAACGGCTCACATGTCCCTATCTCAACTTTTGTTAAACTATTTACTGATATTCAATCAAAACAGATACAGGGTGGTTCAAAATTCAGAATTCTGATCACGTGCATTTTTCATGGATTTCTTTCGACTGATTCTCGATAGAGATAGTGTAAGCTCATCGTAACATACCCTGTATGTTTCGTACCGTTTGTTGTATTTTTTCCGATCAAGGAATACTTTCTTCTGATGTTCGTGCTTCCTGTTCGAAACTGTATTTTTTAAGAATTTACCATCTTCAATAACTGTGATACAGAACGTAATCTTGATTTTGGCAAAATCTTCAACTATAGTCAGGTCATAACTTTTGAACCACTGTGTATAATCGATTCATACTTGGTAGGTATATTCAACTCATATTTCTCATCAAAACTAAATATGAATCGAATTCAGAATCCAGATCCGTCTTCAGGCAAAACAAAAAACTTCTATTTTTTTCAACAGTGCGCATCCAATTTGAAAAACAGTATTTTTATTGAACTCGTTATTCAAAAAATCCAATTTTAATCCAAAAAAATAATCAGTCGTCAGATTTCAACTTAATTAGAGCCGAATTAGGTGAACTTTCGATGGATTTCGTTCCATAGAACAATTTGTCAATTATTTTAGATATTTTCGAGTGCTCATTACAATTTCACACACACAAATTAATGAAGTAGGTATTTTACACTCTTGAATTTTTGTACGTAGATTCATAATCCGAAATTATTTATTTTAGTATTGTCAGTAATTTTATATATACATATATATTATACGTCTCCGAAGTTTTTGTGATTGTTCAACACCGGAGTTCTTTCACTTCATTTATTTTTATAACTATCCATTTTGATTATTTTGTTTATAAATATTTTACACTCTTGAATTTTTGTACCTACTTAGTTTCATATTCCAAAATTATTAATCTTAGTATTTTCAATAATAGCTCGTCAAACGAAATTCATACTTTTTCACCACGTACAAGCAGCATTTGCTGCTTCTGTGGGTTTTCTAATGTTTATTTACCTAATGTTAACTTGCTATCATTATTTCTTCCATTGTATTCTGATTCTGTCGAAATAAACATATTATTATTATTATTATACCAAATGTCAATTTGGATGCGCGCTTATAAAAAGTAGACCACATTGTTCATTATTTTCCTCTTCTTTCCAGTTAACAAAACATATCTAGATATTTTGGGAAAGATTATATTGTTAGCCTGGGTGAAATTTTTTCAAATCATCAGACTTTCGAAAATAATACTGTCAGTATATCCGTGTTCAATACTGCATCTTATATTTTGTATACTATATATCTCTTTTCCCCCCGTATAATTCATAAGTCATAGACCCCCCCCCACGTGTAATCCCATTATCAACATGAGTCATAGATAAATCATTTGTTCGGAAATTAATCGGTTAACAGCATGATTCAACTCATTAGTCATTCATTCGGGACCAGGTGGTAAATCAAGACAGTTTTATATTAGATGTCGAAATTTGTGATCGACACTGAAAAATACGCGAAAGGAATTATTTATCGTTCCAAACGGAGTGTTCCCTAAAAAATGAGTGATAATAATCGAAAATTTCATACAATGAAATTGCAGAAATCATTTTCTACCTTTTTCACGCTGGTGAGTTTTTAATTTTTTTTATTACGAGTGATAGTATAATCTGATAGGTATTTTGAGCCGATACCACTCGATACATCTAGAAATCTTAGAGTAGGTACTCTTTTGATGCATTTTCATATACATATACTTATTTTTGGTGAGAAATGTATGCGATTAGAACAAACCCGAAAAAAATTTGTCAATCCGTATCGCTGACTGTACTAGGCTAGGTACCGCAACTGCCAATTTTCACAGAGAAATTTTCGAAGTCGTCAAAATTTCTTTGAAATGGTCACACAGGAA